GCCATGTGGGAGTCCATCACCCTAACCACCACACCATCTGCTGGCCCCATGAGCCAATACCGATACATGTTTATTAGCTAAACTGTATGCTTTATTAGGAAATGTTAGCTTTCTCTTATCTGGCGGGCTCACTTTTTAGCTTTAGAAGATTAAAACCAGAGGGCAGGACAGTGGTGTGGTGGTAAAATGGGATGCTTTTGAGGCGGACGCACATGGGAAGTTCTGGGCCGGCATCTGCGTGTGCCCCTGACCAGGGCTGGCCGCGGCTGGGGTGGGTTGTGGCATCAGGACCCTGTGGTGTCTACTGTCTCTGTTTTACTCAGTCTTTCTCTGTCTCTTTCACTCATGGAAGTAATAAATAAATAAACTTAAGATAAAAAATAAGAGACCAGCAGGTGGCATAGTGGTTAAGGTGTTGGACTCTCACATGGCTGACCATAGTTCAAGTCCCAGACTTGGTGGCTTGAAAATCACACCAAGAGCATGTGTGTGTGGCCCCAAATCTCAGGATAACGGTGGAGAAGGGTGACTTTTCACTTTCCCTCTCTCTGCCTCTCTCTGGTGAGCATGTGCACCCTGTGGCAAAAACATTTTAAAAATTTAAAAATAGGGAAGTGTCTATGAAAAATCATTGTCACCTGCTCGACACAGGTTAGCTGATGCTTTGGGCAGGGGACGTCCCACGCCCGGGGCCTGCCCTCGCTGTTCAAAAGGGAGAGTGGCATGAAAGGCAGACTTGCCTTCAGGGAAACTTTCTCCCAGGCCAAGTGGGATCGCGAGAGAAAGCCATGGGAGCAAAAAGACTGCCCCATGAGTGGCAGCATGGGCGAGCGTCCAGTCTGCGCGTCCCCTACGGTCAGCTTGGGCACCACCCTGTGTGAGCCCCTCTGTGGAAAACACTGCATGGTCTGCCCATGCCACATCCCCAGGTGGCTGGGAACCCCCAAGTCTGCAGCCTCCAGGCTCCAAAACTGGAGCTTCCTCCTGCCCTGAAGGACGGAGGTTGGGGCTGGGGACCTGCCAGGCTGTGGC